AAAATGGATCCGCAATCTAAAATTCTAATACATCAATATTCTCCAATTTACATTGTTAGTTCGATTGTGGATCTTAATTAATATTGCGTTAGCTTAATAAAAATGTGAAAATTTAAGTTTTTTCTATTTTTCATAACTATTAATGAAATGAGTCACTAACGAAATGCTTTTGACATAAAAATAAAATAATAATTTACAGTAGTATTAATAATAATAATAATAATAATAATAATAATAATAATAATAATAATAATAATAATAATAATAATAATAATAATAATAATAATAATAATATTAGAAGAGAAAAATCAAAAATAAAAAAACGATAAAGCTTTTAATTATTTGCAACATCTTCACAAATTCACATTTGAGGACAAAACAATAAATTGAGAAACTCACAAATAGTACAGATGTCATGTGAATTCGGTATTTCAATTTCTCGGTTATCAATGGTTTTACCTTTTAGGCCTAGTACAAGAGATAAAAGGTTAGATGTCCAAGCAAACAAAATATATTTCTATGCTTGGACGCTTTCGAATGTGTTTAAGGAATCCAAGTAATCAAGAATGTGTTGGGAACGCTTTCGTACATGTTTATGGTGACTATGATGAATTTATGAATTTTTCAAACTTAGGATATACTTAGGATATAATAGTGTGAACTAATTAATTAATTTTTTGATCTACAAGTAATGAATGAATTTTTATTTATTTATTTATTTATTTATTTTTTGTCTCTATCCCGCAATTTACAAATTAGTATTATGTTAGCATTAGCCTATACATTTATATCCACACAAAATGTAATATCCAAATGAGCTCATCATCATCAGAAAAGCTTGCTTGCAGACTCCTCAATTTTCTCCTCTGCTTTTCTGGAAGAAGAATCGGTGAGATTTCTCACTTGGGACAGGCTCCTTCCCAACTACAACGCCACCTTCATTTCAAACAACTCTCCATTTTCTCTTCTCTCCATATCTTTTCCAATCAAGTTTGATTCTATGGACTCTTCCATTAGCTTGAAGAATCCGGCTCGAACACCATTCCGACTTGCCCACCGTGCTCAATTGTGTTTACTACACTTGCTAAACCACCAGCAACAACTCCGAGCACCACCGCCCAAGAGCCGTGATTAGGAGACCCCACAAAGGCGGAGCCAAGTGCTGCTAATCCTGTGAGCACAGGACCACCAATGGCTAGAAATTTGTTCAGTTTCAAGGCTTTCCCTCCCAACCTCAAGTAGTCTGCTTCGTCTTTATTTCCTATAGCACAACTTATTTCTCTCATTTCCTCCTCCAACATCCCATTCCAACCTTTCTTCCCATCGAGCCCTTTAGTCTTTCTTCGACGCTGCTCTGGCCACCACACTGCGGGCTCTACATTCTCCGGGAATTCTTGAGCATTGCACCAATAAGAGGAAGCGGGTAGGCCTTGTCAAGAGCCAACACCTTTTCCATCATTTCCTTTACATCACTAGTTGTAGGATTACCCATCGCTATTTTCGTCTAAATCTGATTGTGAAGCTGCTTGAGCAACCTAGTTGTATTTCTTTGCTCCTCAGCAAGTTGAGATGGTTGAATCTTGTTCATTATGGACAGCATCCCAATTGCTGAAAGATACATGATGGTGGACGAAAGCTTTAACGCCGCCACCGGAGCAGCACCACCAATTACACTTGTAGCCGCAATTCCTGCCATTGCAGCCACCGAGAGTGTGAGCGCATTAATCGATGTCAAAAGCAGGCAATTCCAATTATTTCTTTTCTCTCCAATATTCTTGCACATCTCCACCCTATCTGCAACAGCCTCCAGGATTGCATAGAGTTTTGCCATTACCAATGGATCATGACCATTATTATCATTTCTTTTAAATATATTGACATCGATGGGGCTGCGTTTTCTGTCAATGCAATTGTGTAAGTCAAGTTCCTCTGCCATTCCCTTTGTTTTTAGCTCAGGAAGAGAAATATTTGTTAATCTCGGAACATTAATGGTAGCCGTGATAATTCGTCCTCTTCGACTCCAGGATGAAGAACTGGATGAACACACGTTGCTTGAAGTTTGTAGGGGGGCCATTTCTTTTACGACAGTATAATCTTTTCTTGAGTTGCGATATATGGCCGTGTGAATATTCTATTTCTTGGATTTTTCTTGTTTTTGGGAGATGTTTTCTGATGAAGAATTGTGTAGTTT